GATGAAATGGAATTTTGATGGTCAGTTAAACGCCAGAAAATTTTCGTCGGCATAACTTTTTTAACTTTGATTAAATCTTAAACTTTAATTTTTCTAATTATTTTTCTTTTAAGTTATTTAAATCTGATGGGTATTGAGCATAGTGTAGTTCGGGAAAGGCGGCCACGCTCCAAAAATGAGGAGAATGATGTGTTGATTATTCAAAGGTCTGATTTGGATTTGCCTGAGGCTTACAGAACTGTTGAATTGTCTGAACAGGTTTTGAAGCGGATTAACGGGGAGAAAGACGAAAAATTTGAGGATTTCAAGTTTGGTTTAAATAATTAAATTTTTCAATTAATTTTTAGACAAAAATTTGCCAAATTGGAGGAAGAAAATTCAAAACTTTTACAAAAATTGAAGGAAAAAGAAGAAAATAAACAAAAATTTGGTGATTCTTCTATTAAAATTCCTTCTTCAATTTTAAATAAAGAAAATCAACTTTCTTTGTCTACTGAAGAAATAATTGATAAAAATCAAAAAAAATTTGATGAAATGGCAACGAGAGTAGAGAAGGTTTTTTTGAGTAAACAATATACAAATGCTTGTTCTGACATTGAAAAGGTTTTTTGTTTTTTTTGTTTAAAAATTTAATTTTTTTCCAAATTTTTTGTTGCCTTCATTCCAAAATTATTTATTTTTATTTATTTTCAGTTCATAACCGATTGTTTGGCCGTTAATCCACAACGCGTACTTCTTTGCCAGCATTTTCTTGACATTTACAAAGATTGTATTGCACAACACAAATCTAAACTTCTTCAAGACCAATTTCCTCAAGAAAAATAAAAAAAATAAATGTTTTGAAGTTAAAGAAAAATTAGGGTTTTTGTTTTGTTTTTTTTTTGTTATTTTTTTTTAAATTAGTAAAAGTAATTTTTCAAAAAAAAAGTTATTTTTGATTTTGTACCTTGAAGGAGGAATGTGTTTATATTTTTGTCTCGAGTAAAGCTTTTATTTTTTTTAAATTTTTACTTTTTTTTAAGTTTTTTATTTAAACTTTAATTACCTGTTTTCCTTTAAAAAATATTTTTCTTATTTTTTAGTTTTTAATGGAATGTGGAAACGGCCAAAATATTGGCTATTTCTTCTCTTACTAATTTTTGTTAATTTAATTATTATTTGGATTAAATTTTGTGATGACAGTCTAGAAATTGAATATTCAAATAAAATAATTAAAAATCAAAATAATTATGGAGATTGGGGTCAATTTCAAAATGTCTGCTCAATTTCAAAATGTTTGGACCTCAGAAAATGTTTGTTACACCCAGAAAGACGCCTCTCAATCTATGTACAACCGATTTTGCGCTTTGTTGATTTGGTAAAGATTTTTAATTTTTAAAAATAAAAAATATTTAAAGGAGGAGGATTTGTTTGTCTGTTCGGCGTTACCATCCTCAGAGTTTTTGGAAATCCGCAAAATTATTTTACAAAGTGAATACAACGAAGAAGAAGCGTCAAAAGCATGTTTGATATTACCTGGGTTGGATTTACTTTCTCTTTTGGATTGCCCAATTGAAAATTATATAAAATTGTTGAATATAGCTAAAAGGTTTTTTAATTACTAAATTTTAATACAAAATTTATTTTTATTTTTTTAGTGTCCTTCCAATTAATTCAAATCTTATTTTGTTCAATTTTTTAGTAAATGAACATTACTTTAATCGTCCTTTCCCTTTTCCAGCTATATTTGTGAGGTATTTTAAGATTTAAAAAATTATTTTTTCCTCTAAATTTTCTTCAAGTTCTCAACATTCAATTAATTCATTCCGTCCAGCAATTGATTTTTCAATTCCTTTACCTACCCCTAAAAATTCCCCAACTTTATCAACATTTCCTTCAAATAATCAAAGAATTATTGATATTCTTATTCCATTAGAATTTTCAAACAATTTAAACGACAAAAATTTAATTTTTTCAACATTTTTAAATTCATCTTCATTTCGAATTAAATTTGTCAAAAAATGTAAAGATTCAGATGAGCTCCTTAATTTTAGAATTTGTGATGCTTTTTCTGATAAATATTTATCTGAAATTGATGAAATGATTGAAGTTTGTTTATTTTTTAAATAAAAAGTTTTTTTATTTTTTAGATTTCTAATTTTGTATTTATTTCTGATAATATTTTCTTTCCTCAAATGTTTATTTGGAAAGCACTTCGTGGAGGTGCAATTCCAGTTATTTTGTCTGATTCAATTTTACTTCCATTTTCTGACTTGATTGATTGGTCAAGGTAAATAAATTTATTTAAATAAAAATTGGAATAAAATGATTAAATTTATAAAGTATAAGTAGTTTGTTAAATTTAAAAAACAGTACATAAAATTAAGCTTATAATTTTTGCAATTTTAGTTGTTTGATTTTTAATTTTGACAATTTAGCTTTTAAAAATTCTAAATTCTTATAACTTTTCTAAATTTAGATTTTCATTTATTTTTGTTTCGTCATTACTTCCAAAAGTGCCACAAATTCTTCAATCTCAATCGCCTAATCGTTTATTTGAAATGAAAAAAATTGGAAAATTAATATTTTTTAAATATTTTTCTTCAATTGAAAATATTTTATTTTCAACAATTTCTGCAATAGAAGGCCGTATAATTCCTGGAAAATCAAAAAGTAAAAAAGAATGGAATATTATTGAACAAAATTTTTTTAAATGTCTATCATTTAATTACTATAAAAGGAAAATAACAATTCAACAATAATTTATAATTGTAATTTAGTTAATTTAAAAGGTATTTTTTAATTAAATATTTCTTTCTTATTATTTTTAAATTATTTAAGGCTTATTTTTTAGCCCTTTTAATATTCGAATATTAGATGCAAAATCTAAAATTTTCATTTTTGTTTTTAAAAAAATTTGAGTTTTATAGGCAAACTAGTATTTCCCTAAAATTTCAAAATCCAAAATTTTTTTCTTTTATAATTTCAGAAGATTAGAGATATCTCTAAATTTAAACAAAATTTAATTCAATCTCCCTGTCCATTTTTGAAGAAAAGTTAAAAATTCAACAAAATATCTGCAACCTTTGCTTAAAAATTTTCTTCATCCGTCTTTATATTTTATATGTTGTATTTTAATTTCGGATTCGATTATGAAAAAAATAAAGTCCCCATTAAATTTTGGTTACTGTATTTAATTTTAAATTTTAATCATTAAAATTTGATAGCAGATATTTTTTAAATTTATTTTTAGAAATTGTTTTTCTATTTCATTTCTAAAAATAACAATACAAACACTTTTCTGAGTGCTCCTATGATATATTGGCCAATGAGTTTATGCTCAATGTCAACTAGGTCCAACAACTGTCACACTTTGCTAATTTCCTCGTGGTTCAAGATTTTGCTGATAAATAAATTATTTTTTGTCAAATAAAAAATTATTTTTGAAAATAGAAGAAATCATCTTTTTTGTCAATATTCTTTTTTTCAAATTAATTTAAAAATTATTTAAGCAAAAAAAATATATTTTTCTTCTATTCTGAAACCAAATTATTTATTTTTATTTATTTTTCCTTTCATCACTTACTCACAATTTACCACATATCTGAACACGTTTCCCTCAAATAAAAGAATTTTTGAATAGGAAGAAAGAAATTTGATCCCAACAAAATTTTCATTGGCATTTGGAGGAATAGAGAAAAGGGTCCGAAAAGCAAGAAAAAAAGAGAAAAACTTGCTATTACTTACAAGCAAAATAAAAATATTAGAAAAAAAGTGGCGCCAACCGAAACTACGGGAAAGCAATGATGATGAACAAGCAATAATAGAGAGAGATGGGTGGTGTTCGTTTTTTTTTACTAAGAGGCAATCCTTTCCAACCTTTTCCCGTTTATTTTATTATTTTATTCCAGGGCTCTCATCGACAAAATGCCACTCAAAAGTATCAAAATCTTGATAAAAAAGTATATAGGGAGAAAATTTCCAAATTTAAAGTATACTCCAAATTAAATTGGAAAATATTTATGCGTGCTCAAATCTTTTATATTTCTCTCTTAAATGAATCTTTTCTAATAATTTCTTGCTTCCACTGAGCATTTTGTGCATTTCAACGCATGACATGTCAAAATTCGCTGATACAAGAAATAAAGCCCTGACAGTCTTAACCTCAAGCAAATTACTTTCGTCCATTTTCAGCGCCGCAGCGATAATTTTGAGAATTTTAGAGCTCTAGAAGCCGGATTTCTCTCATTTTCAGCGCCGCAGGCGAAAATTTTTTGAAATTTGGAGCCCAAGAAGCTAGATTTCTTTCTTTTTCAGCGCCGCAGGCGAAAATTTTTTGAAATTTGGAGCCCAAGAAGCTAGATTTCTTTCTTTTTCAGCGCCGCAGGCGAAAATTTTTTGAAATTTGGAGCCCAAGAAGCTAGATTTCTTTCTTTTTCAGCGCCGCAGGCGAAAATTTTTTGAAATTTGGAGCCCAAGAAGCTAGATTTCTTTCTTTTTCAGCGCCGCAGGCGAAAATTTTGAGAATTTCGAAGGCCCTAGGCTAAAAAAATTCACTTTTTTGCCCGATCCCTTCCCCAATTTCATTTTCAATCAAAAATGTTGATTTCAAAGTATATACTTTCAATAAAGTATAAATTCAATTTCTTAAGTATGGAGGTCGGTTTCAAAGTATAATACTTTCAAATAAAGCACGAATGAGAGCCCTGTTTTATTCCCATTTAATTGAAGAATTAAGTTTATAAAATTTGGCGATTTTATTTGTTTTTGTAAATACATTTACTCTCTCAATATTAAAAAAACATTTTTTGTTCTAATTTGCTCTGATTTTTTTGCACTAATTAATCTTTTCTTCACATTTTTTGAAGGAGCCCACCCACCCATAAAATCATTGATATACAATTTGGTGACCTAATTATTGTCTTTTTAACACCTCAAAATTAGATAAAAACGTCAAGGTTTATGAATTAAAAATCTAATTGATTTTTCACGTAAACGCGCGCCAGTCGTTTTAATAATGGTTTTATGATGAAATGTTTATTTGTGTAGATTGCCACACTTCTATGTATTTATTATCAATCAAATGGCAGGCTAAGAAAATTTCCTTGAGATTTAAGATATTATTTCTTTTTTTAATAGGAAGATACGAATTTTGCCTGATTTTCAGATTTTTCCTCTCAATACCCCCCCCCCCCCCCCCTCCTACCTCCCCTTTTTTACAGTTTCTTGCTGAACCTTTCACATTTTTTATTTTTTGATTTCATTGCCCAAATACTTTAAAAACGTTTAAAAAATACAGTCACAAATAAATATCGATTTAAAGAAAATTTCAGAGCTGATGAAGCAAAGGTTAGCTAAAATATATTTTAAAGGCTGGCAGCAAATATAAAATGGAAAGACTTTTTATTTATTCATTCAAATATTTACGTTTTTCCTTCAAATCGGCGGTTCTGATACTGTCAAATCGGCGCCATTTAAATCATTTATATTTCCTTAAATGCTTTTCCTCCCCCTCAATAAAAACTAACAAAACAGTCATTCCCTCCACCGTTACTTTCTTTTTTTACTCACGTCTTAGAATAATCGCCAGCCATATTGTTGAAATATACACAAAATTTTGTTTTTAATGATTTTTTCTTTCCCACATCTTGGCGATAATAAATAAATTCTTTCACGTTTTTATAAACTCATATTATCAGTACAAACACCTTACCAAACCTTTCAGTTTCGCTTATTCATTTTGTGGTCCAAACTATTTGTTTTTCCAGACAGTCCTTTAACGTGCACTCTTTATTTTTAACTTTTATCGTTTTTGAAATTACTTTTTATATGCTAAATATATTTTAATTTATTATACAATTAATAGTATTTGGTGGTTTTTTCTTCTAATAATTGATACAATTTTTGATTTAAAAAATAAATTATATTATTATTATTTTACCCCTTATGACGAAAACTAAAAAATATTTAACAACTCGTATTTTTCTAAATACTTTAATTCTGTGTAAATCAAGGTTCAGGGTTCCCCGAATTTCTTCCACAAGTTTTTCCTTATTTTGAGCAGATTCTTCTTTTTAAATTTATAATTTCCTGTCTTCTTCAAAATTTTACTTCTCTTCCCACTCAATTTCAATGAGTGAAGTATTTATCCCAATAAATAGCAATCAGCAACAACCAAAAAAGGAAAAGAGGTTAAGCTTCTTCTTGGCAAACCCTCTCTCACCCACCCACATATTCTCGAATAAATTGCAAAACATGTTCTCATGTATTTTTATTTTGAATTACTCCCCCACATTCTTTTCCTTTTTAAGAAGCATTTACAAATTCTATTTTTGTCCTTTCTCTTCAAGGATATTTTTGCTTTACTTTTTACTTTTCATTTTTAATTTCCTTTAATATTTATGTTAAATTTCAAAATAAATTTTAACGATAAAATAATGCTAACAAATATATTTATTTGTACAGACAGCACTTTTTAGTATTTTATTTCCTAAATTTTGAAAAGAGGGGACAATCAGAGTTTGAACATACAATTAAATATTTTAGAATTTATATATTTTTGATTTTAAAGCAAAGCTTATTTTTTGAAAAAATTTTGTTGTGAATTTTTGAATATAATTCACAACATAAGAAGCAAATTCTCGATTATTTTCTTCTCCCAATAATTTCTAAAATACAAACATTTATTTTTTTATTTTCCTTTTCCTTAAAATAATAAAATTCCACAAGCATCTCCATTATTCTCTTTTTTTTCTCTTTAAAATACCTCATTTTTGGATTATTGTGCGCAATTTTGGATTATTGACCAATTATTTTAACATTAAAATGTAAAATTCCTTTTTTTTAAATATTAAACATTTAAATTTATTTGTTTATAAAATAATTATTAATTTTTTTTGATTGAATTTCATAGTTTAAAATTTAGTTTGTCAAAAAAATTTATTTTTTTATTTTTGAGGCAATTTGTATTTTTTTTAAGATAATACATTTCATTTCTTGTGATCAATATGTATATCAAAAGTCGGGTCCTCAAAAGGGGACCCAAGTTATTTTATTTGCCAATGAAATAAACTTTACACTTTTTTTATTTTTCATTTTAAAATTTAAATTGTTTAAATTGATTTTTTATTTTTTTATTTTCCCTCTTTTCAAAATTATTTTTTCAAACTTTTTAAGGAGAAAATTTAAATATGAGGAATATAAATAATACTTCCTCTTCTACTAATTCTCCAGCTGCAACAATAATTAAAAGTAATACAAGCACAACAACAGTTTTTCGTTCATGCACAGAATTTAGTCATGAACGTTCAAGACATCCAATATCTTCAGCTACTGTTGTTTCTAAACTTTTAATTCAACCAGCACATTTAAGAAGCCATTCAGTTAGTCATTGGTCTTCACCAAAAAGGTGAATAATTTACATGAATTATTTATGTCAGACTTTTAATTTAATAAATAAATATTTTTTGCATTCTCTGAGATTAATTTAAAAATAATTATTTAAAAAATGAAAATTTAAAGAAATTTTTAAGTAGAAATCAAGGGGCAACATTGTTACATGCTTGTGAGCATTTTAGTATATTACCAGCTATGCCAAATAAACAAGTAGGTTATTTTAATAAACAGAAATCTTTTTTAATTAAATAATATGTGGTTGATTATTTAATATATAGGTTAAGGTAAAAAATATTAAATTATTTTGATCAACAAATTTTCTGATCATTAAAAAATTTTTTTATTAAAAAATATTTTGTATTTTTCTTCCTACTATTTGTAAAAATATTTAAAAGATTTTATTTATTTTGTATTACTGCCATCTGTTAAAAAATTATTTTTCTTTAATATTCCATCGATATTAATAAAGATGAATTAAATTATAAAAATATATGAGATTGCCCAATTTCCATATTTTTATTCTTGACAATTCCTTTTAAATATCTTCTATTTATTGTCTAATGCATATTTTTTTCTCAATATAATTTCTTCATTAAATTTATAAAGCCTTCTTCCTCTTTATTTTTAATTTAAAAATAAGAATTAAATTATATTTTTTCTTTGAACAATTTTTTTCAATTTAGGAAAAAAATTATTTTCGATTAAACAATTAAATATTTAGTTTTTAGAAAAATACTAAATACAATTGTTTTTGTTAGAAAATAATTAATTATTATTTTTTGTTTTTCCTTTCAATAGCTTTATTTACAAAGTTTTTTTTTATTTCCGTTTTTTTCTCCTCTTTTAATTAATTGCTCTTGAATGCAAAAATCTTTTGGGTTTTGCAAAAAAATAATATAAATATATATACTTGAATATTTACTATTAACTTGATGTGTATTTCTGGGATATCTAAAAAATCTTTAAAATATCCATTTGTATTTACAATTATGATTATTTGAATTAAAAAAAATTAATTAAAATTATCAAATATTTTCATTATTTTATAACTCCCCACGTATTCAAAACAAACAAAATAGTAAAGAGAAAAAAATAATTGAAAAAATCGGCGCAGTAACCAAATTTTAATTTGCTTTAATCAAAAAAACATACTTGAATATTTATTTTTTGTTGGGTTGGACCTTGATATTTATTAGAAAAGAAAAGAAAACCTGTTTTTTTAGTTTTATTATTTTCCTTCCACTTATCTCTCAAAAAGTTTTTTATTTGATAATTATGTGAAAAGTATTTTTATTTAATTTTAATTTATTTTTTTTAAATTAATTTAAATTTAACTTTTATTTATTAAACTTTATTTTAAAAGTTTAATAAATTATTTTTAATATTATTTTAATATTATTTCTTAAACTTTATTCAAAGGAATCTGACAAAGACTGACCATACATTTTAGTTTTCCAACTAAAAGACGTTTCTTGAATTTTTAATTTTTTCTCAAATATTTTTTTAAATTCTAATAATAATTTTTCTTTTTAAATTCTTATTTATTTTCTTTAAAATACCCTAAAATCCACTTTAGCTCATTTAATCGCGCAATTAGTTTACGGACAATTGCTTTTAATATTAGAATGAGAGAAACAAAACAATTTAGAAATTAAATGGGTAAAAAAATAAAAAGAAACATTAACCCCTCAGCATTTTAATTAAAAATTTGTCAGCAGCTTTTTTATTTTTTTTAAATAAATTACCTCTTATATCTTAACTTGCTTGAATATTTATTTATTTATTTTGATTAAAAAATTTAATTTTAAAACATTTTTTAACTAGACATCACTATAGAAATAAAATTATTTTCCTTTGAATTAAGAAAAAAGATTTGTATAACAATTTTAATTAATTAATTTTAAGATTTTTTTTTCAATTTTTCGATCAAAATTGAGAATAAATAACTGCATATTTCGTTCATCTTCTTCCAATTTATTTTTTCTTGTCATTTCACTAAAAATTTAATTTGGCCAAAATTCCATTTCTTTACCTCTTTAAAGTCCTCTAACATTTTTTCTTTCAAAAATCCCTTCTTAGCCCATTTTTATTTTATAAAAATAACTACTTAAATATATAATGTCCAACCAACCATCTCTTTGAATTTTTTTTATCTATTTTTCCTTCATTTGTTTTTGCTTTTTTAAACAAGTATTGGCATTTGTTTATTTTTTTAATTTAAAATTAATTTAGCTTTTGTTTAACATTATTATTTTATAATACATAATGTAATAACTAAAGATTTTATTAAAATTATTAACTAAACTGCCTATATTTTTTTAGATTTTGTTTGAAATCGTTGAAAAATAACGTTTTTTTAATTTCTATATGTAATATTTCCTCTCTCTCATTAAAATGTCATGTCCATAGCAAAATTTATTACTAACATTTTTTTCTTAAAAACATTTGGTCAATACTTTTATATTCCCCCATCCTTAGCGGCTTTCTCCTCCAGACGATTACTCTACGAATTAAATAAAATATTTAGCTTATAAAATGCTTTTCAACCAGATTATAAAGAGTAAATTTAAAACAAACATTTTAAGTAAAAATTATTTGTTTGACTTTGTTAGTCGGTTTTTAAAGTACTTTTTTAAATATTAATTTGTTATTTTTCCCATTCCCTAATTAATTATTGTAAGACTAGAAAGTAATAAATATTGCAAAACGGTCCTTTACGTCTACTTGCTATATCTTTTATCATTAAAATGTTTAGTGTTGTTATTTTTTAGAAGATTTATTGTAAGTTAACCGCTAGGAGGAACCGTAAAAGCAGTAACATATTTATGGTTTTATGAAGGACGTAGACATAATAATTTTTATGTGGGAAAATGACAAGATTTGAGGAAAAAGTAAAAAAGAAAATTATTAATAAATAATTGCGATAGCTCCGGGTTCAGAAGCTTTCGAGGATTTATTTATACATAATAATAGTTAGGAATTTAAATTTATAATTTACTCTATTGTTTATTTACAAATATACAATAAAATTACAATTTACAATACAAGAGTTACACGTAAATGTACGTAAAATGTACACTACAATTTTTCTAGAATTTATTTTTCTTCCTATTTTTACCTTTAGTGATTATCCAGGAGAATAATAATTTTTTGTAATTATTTAGAGAAATGTTTTTTTCTTTATTTTCCATTATTGACTATAATCTACTAAGATATAATTACACACACACTCATCATCTTCTTTAAAAATAAATTGGTATTCTTTATGTAGCTTAAAACACAATTTTACTAAATTGCCTTTAGTTAAGCAAAAAAAGATGCTAAAAGCTAACCAACCATTTCCTATAACAAAATAAACATAAATTTTGCAGCAACATTTTTAGTTTTTGGCCAAAAGCCTTCTATGTAATGGAAATTCAAAAATATACATTAAATTAAATTTATTTAAAAAAATTTTTTTGTTAAATAACCAGAAATTCTTGTCAATAATTTCTTGTTAATATCAATTTTTTGCTAAAAAAGTTTTTTTTATTTCTAATAAATAAATATATTTTTGCAAATGATTCATAAAAATTTCCACCAAACATTATTTTTTCACTGAATATTTTTGCTTATTTTTATGACTGCACCGTTTCACTCTTTTTCCCCATTTTTGTTTATTAAACAAAAATAAACATACATAAAAATTTTTAAAAAAATATATACTTTTAAGGAAATATAAAAAATATATATTTTAATTTAAAAAATAAAATTTTGAAAGAAGATTATTTACTTTAATTTAATTATCTAAATTTATAAAAAGAACGTAAAATTTACAGCGGGAAATTATTTTAATTTTATTAGTTGATTGACCCAAAAAATTGTGGGGGAATAATGACATTCAAGAATTCCCTGCTGTTTTAAATTTTATTTTCGCGCATTTGAATTTTATTTTTAATTTTCACGTGGTTAAACTTTCGATATTTTTTGTTGAACGAATAATTATCTTTATATGTAGTGAATATCAATGAATATCACAAATTCTTTATTTTAAATTCTTTTTTTAATTAAAATTTTATTTTTTTATAAAATTAATTTCTAGTTTTTCTTTTTACAAATCCAGTTTCCGGTTGCGCGCGTTCCAAATTTATTTTAGCTTCTCCCAACAACTAGTTCCTCAAAAAACACTCGCTTTTTCATTCTTTACAACCTAAAAAACATTTATTGATTCATGAATAGGTAAATGAAAAATAAATTATTTTATTTTTATTTTTTTATTAATTTTAAATTTAATTTTAATAAAAAATTACAAATAATTTGTACATTCATTCACTTTTTGTTGAAGATAATATCTTTTTTTTATCTACATCTACATACTTTCCTTTTTTACATTATTCTTTACTTTTTTAAGATTTTCTTTCTTACAAAAATTAAAAGTTTCACATAAAAAAGACACAAAAATTAAAATGCTGCTTAGACCTAAATTACCCTCAGATTCTGAATTATTATATTCAAAAATCCTTTCCCCCTCCTCCTCCTCCCCTTCATCATCTTCAAAAAAAGATTTACCCAACAAACAACAACAACAATTACCTCTTTTACCTCCTTTAGCTGTTGACACCTGCTCCTCTGACAGATTATTAATAAAAGAAGAAAACAGCCAACAACAAAACAGCTTTAATAGCAACGACAATAATAAACCCCCAAAGAAACCACCCAGAATATTTCATTACCAGTCGGTACAGGTAAAAGGAAAAATATTTTAAAAAATATTCATTTTTTTGTCTAAAATGGTTATGGACTCTAATCATCAGTAACACAATATTTTTTCTTTATTTTTTTTCTTATCATTTTCTATTTATTTATTTTCTCAATATTTTTTTACCGCCATAATTTTTCTTTTTATTTCCATCAGGACTATATTATTTATCAAAAAATTAAATAAAACTTTTCAAAAAACCTTTAATTTATTTAGCCATAAATTGGACAAATAATTTTAACAATTAAAAATTATTTCCGAGATCAACTTTTTATATTTCCTGTTTATCCAAACTAAAATTAATAGGTATAGGTAGGTTAATCATTATTAAACTTAAATTTCAAATTTTTATTTTTTAACTATTTATTTTTCGTTTATTTTCTCGTTTTTTTGTCAAAAAACAAATTAAAACAATAAACCGATAATTTCTTCTTTTCATAACTTTATCTCTTCATTAAATCAAAAACGAGTAAATATACTAAACATGTAACAAACAATTAATTTTAAATCCTTTTTCTTTTTCATGCATTTAGAAGGAGCTATAGCTTTCTATTTTTTTCTTCTCCGTCAGTTATTCTAAATTTTCTTTAAATTAACTTCTAAATATTATCAAAATAATTTCCTAAAAATCTTAATTTTTTCAAGTCTTTTACAAATTTTTAAAAAATAAGTAAATAAAGAGGATTGCCTATTTTTTAGAGGAGTTTGGGACTCGCTAATCTTGCCCTCATTTTTTGAATATCTACCAATAGACTGTTGAATTGAATTTTTTGTTATGTACATTATTTAGCTATCTCAGTCCTCTAAATTTTGAATTTATTTTTAAATTTTTTTCTTCTTAATTTCTGTGTTTATTCATTCATATATTCGCTTTTTCTTCCTCAATTCGTCCTTCGCTTGGCTCTTAGCTCAGATGCAAATGACCCTTTCTGTTTACCTTACATTTATTCCTACATATCTAAATGGGAGGAGGACGCTGTGTCTGGGACTATTTTTGCATTGATTGTGGCCATTTAGAGATGCTTATAGTGTCCCCTATTTTTTGTTGAAACATAACACACCTCTGTCCATTTTTATTCTTTCCCTCACTTTTATTTTTCAAGGGTTCTTAGAGCTTAGATTTTTAAATTAACTAAAATCAAATCTATCAAATCATCTAAAGGATTAATCTTTTCGGACATTATAAATAAATATATTCTTATAAAACAGTTGGTTCTTTCATTTTCCCCCCTTTACATCCGCTGGCAGTCATCATCACAGACTTATTTTTTTCGTTGAAGAATCGATCGGGTTGTCTATTCGGCGAGTTTGTCCTTCCAATCTACCTATCGCGCATTCGTCAATTCCACCCTTCCCCAATGGCGTTGTTGTTGGGTGAGTGCTGTATGGGTGGGTGACCCTTCCCTTCTCTCTTTAAACGGCCTTACCTTTTTGCCCTGATACGTAGTAGAAGAGCACACTTCGTCCTTTTTCGCTCCTTTTCTTATTTGATTTGATTCATATTTTATCTTTTTTTTTGTCATTTTTGTCCAAATTAAAGATTTTTATTAAATTAAGTTCTTTAATTAATCAAATAATACTCAATAATTAGCAGATTTTTATAATTTTAATTTTTTCAGCAACTTATTGCCAGTCCCAGCAATCACAGTTGTTGTTCTCCACCAACATCTTTTCAACATTTACAGTCCCAACAACATCAACAAAGACTTTCTTCAACAAAAATGCCCTCCTGTACTTCTTCCTCTCCTTCATCATTACAACAACAAAAACAACATCCACAATCCTCATTTTCACCAAATTCTGGTGGTTCTACATCCTCCCCCAATGCTTCAACAGGAAGTGTTAATGGAAGGCCTTTGAGAGTTGCACAACCTCCCCCATTAGCAACAGCTTTTACTCAGCCAGCACCTTCGACTTCTTTCCCTGTTGCTTCTTGTAATGGAAATATTTTTAAAGATCAAAAACAACTTCACACTCCCTCCTCCTTCAATTCTAAACAAAAACATCCTCAATTACCAACAAAAAATTCCAATTCTTCAAATCAACGATTAGGGGGTTTAAGGTTTTGAAAAATAATTAAAAATTAAATATAAAAGATATATATTTTTAGTTATACGGAATTACTTGAATTGGCGCGTAATCAACAGAGGCAGATAGAAGCAAATGAGGCAGAATTAGATGAACGAAGAAAAGCAGTTGCACTTTTTGGTGTAGCCAGGAAAACTGCTGGGAGTGAACGGGAACAACAACAAAATGCTCAAATGTAAATTTATTTTTTATTAAAAAATGTTTCTAGGGGGAAATTGAGCATAAATAAATAAATATTTAAATAAAAAAAGAAAATTTCTTTTTTATCGTAAATTAGAATCAATTGACCAATCAAAAATTGTTAGTTTTATGTGAGAAATACATTTAAACACATCTGGCTTTTATTTAAATAAAATATACAAAATTAGAAACGAAAAAATGTTTTTGCATTTAATTTATTCAAAATTAAAAAATTAATACATAAATTCTTTAAAATTAATTTTTACACTTAAATTATTCTTAATTAGGATAAAATCAAAATAAAATTCTTTGTTTATCTCTCTTAATCCTTCTTTATTTACAAAAATCTTTTCAATATAATCTTTGTTCTTTGTATATTTTTCTTGTTTAAAAAATTAATTTTTGAAAGCAATGATTGGGATTGCTTTAATGTTTTTCAATTAGTTCGAAAATAAACATTCTAGAGAATAAACATTCATTTCTAAACAAATATATATTTAATTACACAGAATTTTAGCCTAAATTAATTTAAATATCATTTAAACTCTATTCTCTTCCAATAGAACATTTTTTATTAAAAAGTTTAATCTTTTTTTAAATAAAATCTTTGTTTCTTTTTGTTTTAATGATTTTTCTTATTTAGCTGAATCACCATTTTTATTTATTCGAAAACGTTGCTTAAATAAAAATACCCTTTCCTTTAAAATATTTATTTCTGTATTTTAATATTTTTTTTATTTTTAGTTTAATGTCCAATATTCGTTCACAAATTGACCGGGATGAAAAAGAACTTGTACGTCTAAGCCTCTATAGGTTTGAATTTTGTTTTTAATTTTAAATGTTCATTTTCCAAATAATTATTTTTATTTTTAGAAGAGAGGCCGGTAAACTACGTGAATATAATAATCGTCAATCAAGAGAATTAAAACAATTAGAAAATGATTATGGAAATGATGAGAAAGAATTACGGAAAGTTTTTGCCAAAGTAGATACTCTTAGAGGGCAATTGGAAAATTTATATATGAAGAGGGCTGCGGCTTCGGATATTGAAAAAAGATTTTTATTAAATGAAATGTCTTCCAATTCTCCAAAAAAGAATGTAGAAGGACGTTCTAGTAGTAGTAATACATTCCAAAATGAGAGAAGGCCTAAAGCTTCTGTCAGCCCTTTTAATAAAGTAAATAAATACGTTAAATTATAAATTTAAAATTGAAAGTTATTTTGGTATTTTTTGGAAGAAGTATTTTTTTATTATTCTAAAGGACCTGATTTTTTCCTATTTTAATTTCGGAAAAATTATGATCACAATCGAAAAAAACAATTTAATCATTTAATATTCCTTTTCTAAAACTTTAAAACAATTTTTAAGTATGAAAAAGGCCGTGATATACCAGACTGTTCGGGGCCAACGACAATTAATCATTCCCCTACAAAAAATCACCAAATTTCAACAAATCCAACAATATCCGGACAAGGAACAGCAAAAATACAATGGAGACGTGAACTTCCCTCAAATAGACAACAACAATATAATATACAACAACAAACTTCCCCTACACATTCAAATATAAATGGGTCTACTGGCGGATTATTGCCTCCAGCGGTGGTTGAAATTAATTTAAATTTTGTAAAAAATATTGACTTAAATAAATTTTTGGAATATTTTATTGCTGTAAAGTTATTATTTCATTGTAGGAACGCCTAAAATGGAATTTATGTCCAATTACTTTTAATTATTTGTTAATAATTTTTAGATTAAATTCCTTACATTCCTTTATTAAAATAAATTATTGTTAGCATTTCTAAAAATTCTGGGAAATTTTAGTATTTTAAAAACAATTTAAATTCTCTTAATTTAAAAAAAATATTTTTATTTTATTTTAAAAAGGTTGACAAAATAAGTCTGCGTCGAAATTCCATCAATCAGGCAAAGCGTAATTCTCTTGTGAGTGAAGGTGGAGATGAACATGTTCAGGCCTTATTATTGGCAGAATTAAGAAGAGGCCGTTCCCATATTTCTTTTGGACGATCATGGGATAGTAGCCAATTAAGTGATGAATTTAAAGCAACAACAAGGAGAGGAGAAAGGGAAAGAAAATTATTATTTGAAGAAACAGAATGTTCAAGTAGCCAAAACAAATTGGAAAATCGTTTTAAGGCAAACGAGAGTAGTAAAATAACAGAGAAATGGACAGATAAAGAAGAGAATAAACCAAAAATTTCATTAGAAAATCAACAGAATCAATTAACATTTTTGCAACAACAAAAAATAATTTCACCAAAAACATCCCCGAAAAGAACTCCATTGCCACCTGAAAATAGTTTAGATGCTTTTAATAAAATATTTAATAAACAAGAACCTAGAGGTAGAGAAGAAAGTGAAGAAAAGGAAGAAAATGAAGATTTTATGGAGAAAGGAGACAGAAATGAATACCAAAAAGATTATAATGATAAAGTTGAATCTATTCCGTCATCAGTTATTGAAGTTAATAATGAAGAAGAAAAAGGGGAAGAAAGCAGGAAATTTGAAGAAGAAGACCAAGAAGAAGATAAAAATAAAGAAAGAGAAGAAGAAGAAAATAATTATAAAACTGTTCAATTACTCGAAAGAATAAATCTTCGATTGGATGAAGATTTATTTGTTAAGGAGGAAGAAAATGAAGAAGAAAAGGAAGAGGAAATGGAAGAAGAAATACATGATGAGGAACTGCCAAAAACAACGTTAACAACTGGAAGTCCACCACTTTCTGACAGTTCTACTGTTTCGAGTAGTGAATTGGAGAGGGAAGGGATTTTGGTAAGTTTAGTTTTTGATTTAAATTGATAATCAGGAATTAGAATAAATTGATTTAGTTATGTTTAGTTGGCTTTCCTTCAAATTTTTCTCTCCTCTAGAGGCCTTTGTTTGTGTCATTATATCCTATAATGTATATTAAGAAGAAATATCCCGCTCGAGGAGCTAATACCAAAAAATAAGAGAAGGTTTTATTTACCTATTTGGATATATTGGAAATGTTTCTTTACATATTTTCATTAGTAAAATTAACAACTATTTTGTTCCAAATCTTTCTCTGCTGCCTACTAAAATATTATTTTAAAACATCTTTCCTTAGGCATTATTTGACGATTCTTGGCATAAAAACATTCGTTCAACGGGTAATAAAGGAATTCTTCGAGAAAGACAACAAAATGGTGTATTATTAAATACAAATACTCGTTTAGAACCAAAAAAGCAAACAAATCGAGTTAAAATTGATTTGGTAATTTTATTTTTGGATGTTGCTTATGAAGGGCAATATGAAATGCTTGTTAAATTAGCATCTCAAGTAAATTTAATTTTTTGGAAATTAAAAATAAATTTAAAATTAAAAAAAAGATTGACGATATTTCTGTTTCAAATAGTGAAGGGTTAACAGCTTTACATTATGCAATATGTGCAAGTAATCATGATATTGTACAATTTTTGGTAGAAAATGGGGCTGATGTTAATGCTTTGGTTTGGAAAAAAAGAAATAATTTTTTTAGAAAATAAAATAATTTTTAAAGGATGTTGATGGTTGGACTCCTTTACATTGTGGTAAAGGAAGAAAAATTTTAATTTAAAATTAATTTAAATAATATTATAGCTGCCTCTTGTGGTAATTTGCCAATGATTAAACTTTTAATTGAATATGGTGCTTGCCCAATAGCTACAACAATTAGTAAATCTGAGGTAAAAAAATGAGAAGAAGAAAATTAAGAAAATATTCTTTTTTAATTTATTTTAGACAGTTGCTCAAATATTTGATGATTCAAATGAAAATGCAGCAGTGGGAATTGAATATATGAATTTTGTAGAAGAGTGTATGGGGGTTGTTAATGATTCTAAGGTGCTTTTAATTTTTAATTAAAGATTGGCTTTTTAAATTGGTTTGAAAATAGGGAATGGTGTATTTTGTTGTGTTTAATTAGAAATTTTTAATCCAAATTATTAAATACTCATTTCTAAAATATCGTTTTAGGTTTATGCTGCCTATTCTTATTCTCCTCAACGAGACGATGAATTAAGTTTTGAAGAGGGGGATGAATTAAAAGTAATTAGAAAATGTGAATATTTAGAAGAAGAAGAAGAAAATATAAAAAAAGAAAAAACGCATTTGGAAGAAGAATGTGATGAACATTGTTGGTGGTTATGTGAACATACAAAAGAAATATTTAATAAACAAAAAAGTGGATTTGGTTAGAAAATATGGAAATTTTTCTAAAAATATTTTAAAAACTTTTTCAGTACCTCGTAATTATTTAGCTTTATTTCCAACTTTAAAACATCAAAATAAATTTAATGTTGATTTTAAATTACCAAAAGAAATTGTTTTTGCTGAACAAAATAATTTAGAAATGAGGAGGGGAAAAGATGAAGAAGGAGAAAATGATGAAGAATTAAATGAAAATAATGAAGAGGAGGAAGATGAAGAAGAAGAGGGAGAAAGAATATGTAATAATAATGTTTTGAGAATTAATAATACAACAACAACAACAAAAACAACAAATTCTTTAGGTCATCAAGAATTAAGTACATATGCTTAAAAAATAAATAAATATATGCAATTTAATCAGCAATAAATAATTATGGAAATTTTCTTTTATTTTTTATCCACAATTTTACATATTTATTTTTTAGAAAATTTATTAAAATACTTGCTCTTTCTTATCAATAATTGTATCAATTTTTTAAAAATACTTTTTAAAATTTATTAAAATATTTGCCTTAAATTTATATATTTTTTTGCAATTTCTTTATTTAATTGATGCCATTGCCTCCTGTCTTGTATTCAGTAAAATCTCTCTACTATTTTTATCTTTCCTTTCCCTAATCAGTTTTTTACCCAGATGGTGTTTTTATGTTTATATTAAAAATAAAAAGGGATATTCTTTTAATTTTTATTGAATTTAATTTAAAGAAATAATTATTTAAAAAGAAAAAAACTTTATAGAAATAATGGCACTTATTGGAGAGAAAAAAAGGATTTTTTAGGTAAATGTCCAGTTGAAGTCCTACATGTTCAGAAAGGGACATGTAGGTCCCTTTGTATACAGGTAGGACATCAACTTGGTATTTACGGAATTTATTTAATGTTGCAACTTGCTCAACTTTAGATTTAATTAAAATGTAAGGTAAAAATTTAGTTTGTGTTTCCTATGATTCCCTAAAAATTTCCCTCTAAATATTTTCCGTTGACATATTTTCAATCAAAAAAGAATTAAATTTTCTGATTTATTTTTTTATCCATGTTTTGATAATTATTAACATTTTGAAAGAAGGCTACTGAGATTTTGGCAGAAATAAAAAAGCAAAAACAAACTAAACTTTTACCAAAAGTTGCAGCATTTTAAATAAAAAAATAATTAAATAGCGTCAACACCTAAAGAAGTTGTTTTATTTAAAGTTGTTCTCCTTCCTCCATTACTACTGCTATTTGAAATATTTTCTGTTTGATTAATATCTTCGTTGCCACAATTTTCTTTATAAAATTGTTGTCCATTTTGGAATATTACCAATGGACGCATTTGAATCTGAAAAAAGTCTTAAATAAATAAATAATTGAAGGAAATCCCCACCCATTGTTGTCTATTCCCTCCATAACCATTTAATCGAAGGGAATCACTAAAAGTAAGTCCATTTGATAAAATTTGTCTTCGATGGCTAGTACTTGTTGTTGTTTCTGATTCTGCTCTATATAAATGACGGGCAGTCTTTCGGCCAAATCGACGTTTATAACGAATATCCTCATCTTTAGATTGCCCGTTATTACTTCTTAAACTGTGCATACGTGATACTAATGAAGTTATTATTCTGAAATGTTAATTAATGAGAGTATTACAATTAATACTTACTCGCTCGTTGCAGTAGCAATACCACTAAGATTTGCACCTTTTTGTTTGTCCTTTGCTGTTAACCAAAAAAATAAAAAAGGATTCCAAATAACTGCTGACATTGCAATAACATGAGCTATTAAAGGCCATAAAAATGGCTAAAAAATAATATTAAATTTAAAATTTAATTATTTACTTGTTGTTTTAACCAAGCTGGTTCTTGTTTAAAATCTTTAACTAAATTAACAGCCGTAATTGGGGTATTACAACCAATAAAGGCAATAACCTGCAATAAAATAAAAATAAAATTTTAAATTAAAAAGCTCCTAACCATTCCAATAAGTATATAATTAACTCTCTTTTTTCTATTTAAAGCATCTGTTCTTTGTGTGTTACTTAATGATTGAGAAAATTGGGCATTTTGAACTGAAAAGTTTAAGAAAATTATTAAATAGGAAAATTATAATCCAAAATTTGTAAAGACAAACACAAATTAATTAATTATTACCAATCATATCTTTGTGTACTTTTCTTAAAATTCTCCAATAACAATAAGTAATTATTGCCATAGGCAAAACAAATTGAAAAAGCATAACTCCTGTTCCATAAAGTCTTCTTTGTGTATCATCTGGCCAATTAAGCTCATCACAAAATTGTCCACAAAATGGGGTTGAATTACGAGGTACATAATAATCACTGAAGAATATATTTATTTGTTTAGACTTTTAATTATTTAAACATAAAACTCTATTTTTATTAAAATAAATATTTTACCCATTAACTAATTTATAAGAAAGTAAATAAGGAATGTTTAACAAAGTAGATATAATCCAAATAACAAAAGTAATTGTAGCTGCTGTTCTTAATGAAAATTGTCCTCTTGTTGGGTCGATTATATGTAAAAATTTATCTAAAGCAATAGCACAAAGTGACCAAGAAGTAACAAAAACAGCACAAGAATTTGAAAGAGGAACAAGTCGGCACATTAAAGGGCCAAAAGCCCAATCTTTTGTTAAAGCATACCAAGGAGTTACTGGGACGGCCGTAAGGCACAAAAGTATGTCAGTAAGTATTAAATTTAAAAGAAAAAGATTTCTGGTTGAACGAAGACTGAAAAATAATTATAAAGATATTTTTAAAATCAATTTTCACCGTTTATTTTGAGCAAAAGCTAATAAAACAGAACCATTTCCAAGTAATCCTAACAAAAATAAACATCCATATGCAGCTGCTATTGCACATTGAACGGCTGCCCAGCTATTTTTAAAAATGGAAATAAATAGATTTTAACAGAGATTATTATTGAAATTTTAAATAAAATATTTGTGTTTATTTTTAAATAAAAAATTTTCTTTCTACCTAGTTAAATCATCAATACCCTGAGCAAGAATTGCTTCAGAAACTTCTGTACAAACAATTTGTTGTTGATTATCTGGAGAAATATTTTCATTTTGATGATATGCAGATGTTTGTGGGGTTAAATGATTTTGATGTTTTTCTTCAATTAGTGTCATTATTTGACAAGGAAATAAAAAAAAATAAATTTAAAAAATTATATAAAAATATATATTTAATTTAATTTTAAGCTAAAAATATTTTAATATTTAATTAAATGAAAGGAAATAAAAATTTTTTTAATTTAATGTAAAATATAAATAATTTAGAAAAATATTTAAATAAATTATAAAAGAATTTAAATAAATAAATATACATATTATTTTTGTTAAATTATTGAGAATATATTAAAATTAAATTTTGAATAAATTTTTAAGTTAAGTTTAATTCTTTATAATTTTAATGGAATGTTAGAGATTTTTTAATTAAAATTTAATTAATAAAAATAATTTATTTTAATTATTTCGATCAATCCAAACCTAAAAGAGGTAACAAACAATTCCTCCTTTTATTCAAAAATTAATGGGGATCTGTGGCCGCGTTAAAATTTTGTCTTCCGGAAGAATAAATATTAAAAAGGAGGAAGAAGGTCCTTTTTTACTTCCAAATAATATACTTCTTCTTTACAAAATTCAAAGAATTCCAAAAAATAAAAGGAAAAAAATATCAAAAAATGAATAAAGAAATAATTATTATTTGCACACAAACACGTGCCCGATATATAAAAAATAAAATTATTATTCATTTATTGGCATTTATTAAACTACATCAAACAATTTTTTTTAATTTTTTGTTTCATTTTAAACAGAAAAAATATAATTATTGGTCTATTGAATATATTTAAAAGAAAATATATTTACAAATAATTATTCAAAAATCTTTATATTTTTTTGGAAAAATATATTCAAAGAACTGAATTTTAGTAGTTTAAATGACGTGAAAAAGAAAAAAGAAAATATTTTTAAAAAGCTGATTATGATGAGAAAAATAAAGATATATTTAAATAAATGATTGAATACTATATTTTGAGTAAAAAAGATGTATAACAATAATCCTTGTAAATTTATCTGAAATAAAAATAATTAAAATAACAGTTTAAAAAAGATTTAAAAAAATATAATTTAACAAATATATTTCTTAAAATAATTTAAAAAAATTTTATCGATAACATTAGAAGAAAATTTTTAAAATATTAATTAAAATAGAGGTTAAAACATAAAATTTATAAAAAAAATTTGCATATATTTAAATAAAAATCAGACAATTCAAAATTTATTTAAAAAGAAAATATGTATTTTGTAAAAGAAAAAATAAATATTAAAAGTCTTTTCCGGTTGATCAGATAATCTTTGACTATTCAAGAATATTTTAATAATATTAAAAAATTAAAGCAAAAATAAGGATAACTTAATCTGCAAAAAAACTTTTCGGTTAATCAAATTTTCTTTTTACAAAATATAAAAATAAGGAGGGGATATATATTAGAAGAATATTTAAATAAATATTTAAAAGTACATAAAAAATAAGCAAAAAAATAAATTAAAAAATATTCGTGAGAATTTTAAAGTGGTTGGGAAGAGGTGAGTGAAGGATTTTCATCTTAAAATTTAAAAAGGAAAGAAAGCGAATTCAATAAAGGTAGATTTTTATAGAAAAAAATATTAAAATTGGAAAAATTATTTATAAAAAAGGATTTTATTGAATAATTATAAAGTAGTAATTAATCGAGAGGGAGGGGGGAATTAATCAAAGAATGTAGTAGATAAACAAAAAAAAAGATTTTTTATGTAAATATTTAAAAAATAAATTAATGAATCAAAGTTCTTTTAATTTAAATTATTTATCTTTGTAAATATTTTCTTTATTGTTTTTAAAAAAAACAATAAAAATAATTAAATAATAGATAACGAATGACGGAGAATATAAAAAAGAAATTTAATATAAAATTAAAAAAAATTTGTGAGAGAAAACCTTTCAAATAAATAATTGCTAATTTAATTTATTTAAAAAAATTAAAATAAAAAGATTGAATTTAGTAGAGATTCTAGAAATATTAAATTACTTTAAATTATTTATTTTATTTTTTAGAAAGTAAATTTAATTAAAAAATGATTTCTTGAATATTTAATTTTAAATTAAAAAAACATTTAAATCTTAACTTTCTAATTTATTTTATAGAATTTTTTGGAACGATAAATGAAACTATTGGTTCGATTTTTCACCAACTCTTCGAGGTGAAAAAGTTTGGAGTAGGCTTAATGACTTAACACGTCCATTCAATCATTGGAAGGGGTCTACAATTTGACTAAAGTTTTTGCCAAAATAAAAAAAAGGGAATATATAAATTTAAATATTATTTTATAACCTCCTTTTCAATAAAAAAAATAAATTAGTTAATAAGAAAAAGGTTCTAGATAATTTAATTATTAAGTAAAAATACATATAATTATCCAAATATACATATTTTTTAAGTAGAATTAACATAGAATAAAACATTTTCTAGGAAAATTAATTTAAACAAAAATGTCGAAAATTTCTTGAATTTTCGTCGAAGGATGAAATTAATAAAATTATTAATTTTTCCGTTCCTATTTTTGTATGACATCACTTGTTAGTGATCGTTATCGCCTACTTTGCTCTTTCTCTCATTTTTCCATAAATGGATAAAATTATCCATTTTATCTTAAATTCCAATCTAAAAAATTATTAATAATTTTATCCAACAGGGAAAAAAGGGAGAAAGTGCATTTCCGCCCAACTTTATTAAAAACATGATTTTTTCTATGTTTTCCACTTTTGCCATTGCCCCACATTTTTTACCACACACATTGAAAATGTTCTATTTAAGCCAATTTTTTCCCCTTACACCAACATTCGTTCATTCAGTATAGCTTTTCCTTGAATCATTCCTTATCCTTACCAATTCCAACCACCTTTTCCATACACACAAATAATTGTAAAATTGTATTAAATTAAATAAATATTATTAAAATATTCTTTGTTCTTTTGTTAATATTCTTTGGGAATATTCGCCTAACTTTCGTCTACGTCTAAACTTGGCCGTCTAAAACCCTTTGCCTCCTCGTTTGAATTGCCCTGTCTTAATCTTTGGGATTAAGACATACCTCATCAAGACCCTTAACCCCAACTTCTTATTTTAGCGGCGAACGACCTAGTTCCCTTTTGGGAATCCCGACCTAGGAAGTTCCCGTTAAAATTGGTGCCACGACCCGGGACCTGCCGTCGACATTCATCAGTCAACATCTTCTATTTTCGGCAGCATCGTCTATTTAACTCGTCTAAATCCTAAATTCGTCTATTGGTTTAATTCGTCAATTGGTTTAATTTTTTCTTCCGTCAACGTATTAACGACACTTAACCTTTCAACATGTCACGAATACTTCGTCAAGAGCTCGGTGTAGCGGTGACGTCACTCGTAGAACGTCTAAAGAATGCCGATTCGTATATCGACAAAATCAAATCGACACCCACGGAAGAGGAGGAACGCGAAATTCTAATCGAAGTTGAGATGGAACTCGTACATCTATCTCAGAGGACCGAGAAGCTCCAATCAGTTATTCGTCACTATCATCAGTATATGGAAGGTTTAAGCGAAGCGAAGCAAGATGAGGAAGAAAACTTTTTAGTCAACTACCTGACTGACGACGAGAAATCAGACAGAAATCAAATCCAACATCATTGGCCAATTACCAGTTTGGTCAACCGGGCAGAAGAGGCAATCAACCGTCTAAAGGCTTATCGAGTCATGCGTCAGATGACAGAAAGCAACAGTAATAATTCACCAAGTGCGCAAGGATCTATCAACCTCAACGAATCGCAACAGACACATATTATTCGGCCAAACCAAGAAAGACGTCAGTTATATTCGGACGACGAAGAAGAACGAGAATGGACACGACAGCGACGAAACGTACGACAAAACGACAGAGATACTTACGAACCAGAAGTAAGAATTCGACAAGAACCGTCACAAACGACCATTTCATCATTGAATGCTCTTAAAGTCGACAGTGTGCGTCTACCTACGTTTGGAGGCGACATTAGAGAGTGGCGTACATTTTGGGCAGCATTCGAACATGCCGTCGATCGACAACCATACCCTCTTTTCCAGAAACATCTTTTGCTCTTGCAAAACCTCAGAGAAGGATCGGCAGCTCGTGAAGCTATTATTGGATACCCACCATCAGACACCAATTACCCAATCGTCAAAGAAATTTTGAAGGATAAATATGGAAACGACGACCAACTTAGCGACCAATTAGAAGCACAACTCTTGAAACTACAGCCGATTCGAAACAACCTTCGAGAATTGTCACAATTTCAGAAAGAAGTGGAACGAATTTGTTTGCAGCTTGAAAGCCTAGGAGGCCCAAAACAACGTTTCGTCTGCAACATCATCAAATCCAAACTACCTCAAGCAATTCTTCAACAGCTCATCACAGAGGAACTGCATTCTAAAAGAAAATGGGATGATAAGGACCTTCGCAAAGCCTTAGCAGATATCGTCAAAATTCGTCAATCGACAGAAGAATGTATGACAGCATTTAAAGATGAACCAAGAAGAGATCAACCCCGAGAACAAAATAATTCTGAAGCGTATAGAAGAGAAAGATTTGAAGCACGACCAATACGTAAAGAAATACGACCAGCACCACGTCCAATAGAACAAACAAGAGCATTCCCGGTATTTAATGCAAACAACAATGGGAGAAGCAATGAACCATTCTGTTCGCTGTGTTGCAATAATGGTCACAAACCAAGCCAATGCTCGACTTATTCAACACCTCAAGAACGCAAAACTCGTCTATTGGAGCAAGGCCGATGTTTGAAATGCCTGCAGCAAAGCCATACGACCGAACAATGTCAACGTTCATTCAAATGCCAGAAGTGTGGAAGCACTGACCATCATTTCATTTTGTGTGCACCACGGCAGGCAGCAATCGACTATCAGACACCTCAGGCCGTTCAGTCGCCAACACCACCGGCAAGAGCATTTCAACAGACATCTTCAAGGACGTCTCGACGACAAACACCACCACGTCGAAATGAACGACCAACGCCAAAGAAAACTGGTGGAAATGCTACGACGCTCAACAATCAAAGAGCTACGACGACAATGAGTTCGACTAAAGATGCAACAGACACGGAAAGAGAAGTCAAAGAAGTTACACAAAGAGTAAACGAAGTTCAAGAAGAATTAAGGGAGCCTGAAGAAGTTAAAGAAGTGGAAGATGAAGCTCCCGACTCATCGACTTATCTCAATGCACGACAAAATGACAACAAAACTCATTTAATGACCATCATCATCAACGTCTCGTGCTCGGGAGGTCCAAGAGAAGGATTACCAGCAATGGTCTTCTTCGACTCAGGAAGCCAAACAAGTTACATCGCCAAAGAACTCGTCAATCGCCTTCAACCGCCAAAACTATCAGAAGAAGTTCTACGCATACACACCTTTGCGAATCAAAATCCGAAGACAGTTCACTCACCACTCGTCTCAATTCGTCTAAAACGTCAAGATGGCGACTGGGAATCAATGCAGCTTAACACCATCGACGAAATTTCAACACCAATGGAAACCTTTCAATTCATTGGAAAAGACGACTACGTCGAACCAGTTAAAGGAACTCCGTCAATCTTAATTGGTATCCGAGAATTTTGGAAATTCGTCACCGGCTTTCAACAACTTGGCCCCAAGCTCTACAAAATTCAAACTGTTTTTGGAGATGTTTTAGGAGGGGAATCGTGCTTCAACTCGACTAACTCGCCTAAAACCTTCATGGCACTTAACGACGACGACAAAGAAAGCATTATTGGACAAAATGACGTCGAGAACTTTTGGGCACTCGAGACTATTGGAATCAAGGAGAACCCGGCTGAGAAAGACGACGACACAGCCATGCGACTATTTGAACAATCAATACGTCAAAAACCCAATGGTACCTACACTGTTCGTCTACCTTGGAGGGAACCTCGACCGACTATCAACTCCAATTGGAATATGGCCTATAGCCGCCTTCAAGCCAACATCAAACGCCTAACTCAATCGCCTGAACTTCTCGCCAAATACGACAAAAATCTGCGCGACCAAGAAGAGAAAGGAATAATCGAAGAAACCGGCCGCGACAAAGAAGAATTTTTTATGCCTCACCACGCCGTCATCAATCCGAAGAAGTTAAGAATCGTCTTAGATGCCAGTGCTCATCCAAATGGAGCAGCAAGCCTCAACCAAGCGTTGTACCGAGGACCTGTTCTACTACCAACACTCGTCGGAATGCTTATACGTTGGAGAACATGCGTTATCCCAATTCTATCGGATGTTCAAGCTGCCTTCCACACAATCGAAATGCTTCCGGAAGATCGACAATTTTGCAAAATTCTTTGGCTGCGCGACGTCAACAAGCCAATCACCACGGACAACTTAGTCGTCAAACGCTACACAAAAATGGTATTTGGTGTGATCTCGTCACCTTTTGTATTAGCAGCAGTGTTATTACACCATTACGCCAAATTCGACAACGAATTATCGAAAGAAATGGCGAAGAATACGTACGTCGACAACATTCTATTTCAATGTTCAACGGAAGAAGAGGCCCTCGACAAGATGAGAACGGCTAAAGAAATATTCAAGAAGGCAGCGATGAATCTTCGAGAATTTCTCAGCCATCGACAAACGATCATGGAGCAAATACCAGAAGAAGACCGACTCGACAAAGCAAAGGCTCAAGTCTTGGGCATCAAATGGGACACAGACAACGATTCAATAACCCTCAAATTTCCGAAGGAAGACGTCAACATCGTCACTCGTCGAACAGTACTTAGTGCATTGGCCAGCATATACGACCCGTTGGGACTGATCAACCCATGTCTCCTTCAAGTCAAATTGTTCTTCCAACGACTATGGGACAACGAAAGAACATGGGACACACCAATAAATGCAGAAGAAACGACAGAATGGCAGAACATCAAGCAATCTTGGAACGACCAAACCATCACTCTTCAACGACAAGCAATTGTAAACAACCCAACCGAGTGGCATCTACATGTGTTCAGTGATGCATCCGAAAATGCCTATGCCGCCTGCGTCTATCTTAGATCGTCAAATGGTCCAAACGTCAAATCGACACTTATTTTCGCCAGAAATCGTCTGCGCCCAAAGAAAGCCAAGTCAAGCCTCACCATCCCAAGAATGGAACTACTTGGTGCACTGATAGCCGTCCGAGCGAAGATACACGTCGAAACCGAGCTACATCGACCAATCAGTGCCGTCCATTTCTGGTTGGACTCTCGTATCGTCTTGGCATGGATTCAATCCGTCGAACCGAAACCGCAATTTGAGCAACGACGACTAGCAGAAATTCGAAACGGAGCAAGAGGAACATTTCATTTCGTCAGAACAGAACAGAATTCCGCCGACATCGCGACAAGAGGTTCAACGCCTATGGAACTTCAAAAATCGACTCTTTGGTGGAATGGACCTGAATGGATTGTGCGACCGTCAGACGAGTGGCCCGACGAACTATCTTTCACCATCGACAAACAAACGGACGTCAATAATCCTACCGACAAAATCGAAACAAAAACCTTCGCGACTAAAGAACCAGAACCGCCGACAATAGACCCTGGACGATTTAGTTCAATCTTCACTCTTCTTCGAGTTGTAATTTGGGTCATCAGATTTATGGGACTAAAACGACCAAATGTGTTCAACATTGGAACGTCTAAAGTTTCACGCCAAGGACCTATGACTGTCGACGATTACAGAGCAGCAAGAATTTTCATTATACGACAAGAACAAAAACGTCTATTGGAAAACTATAATACACACCCCACGGCAATTAACAACGATGGACTTTTATGTTTGAAGACCCGCGTCAACTTCTGTAATGGACCCGAAACAATGGCACTGCCTATCCTTCTTGATCGACACTCGCCATTAACTCGACTAATGGTAGAAGAAATACATGTGGATCTCAAACATGCTGGCGTCGATTGGACAATGACTGAATTCCTCAGCCGTTATTGGATGCCTCAATCTCGTCGAACCATCAGAGGAATTCTGCACAAATGTCTTCAATGCCGTCGACAACATGCACCACCGTTTGTCCGTCCATTAATGCCTCAACTGCCGACTATGCGTGTTCGACCAGCAAAGCCTTTTGAATTTGTTGGTATAGACTTCCTTGGTCCGACTACAACTAACTACGCCGGCCAAAACGTCAAAACCTGGATTATCATAATCTGTTGTATGGTAACCCGTGGCATTTACCTGGAACCAACTCGAGACATGTCATCAATCTCCGTCGTCAACGTCTTACGTCGATTTATCAGTCGCCGGGGCAAACCACGACGAATATTGAGCGACAACGCGCCGACCTTTATTCAAGTGCACAAAGCTTTGGACCTACTCACTGGACCGCCGCCTGAAAAGCCGCCATGGGACTGCACGACTAAGAATGGCATACGCTGGGACTTCATACCTTCTTATGCACCTTGGATGGGAGCAACATATGAACGACTAATTGGACTCGTCAAAAGAGCAATTCAACGCACCATCGGCAAAAGAATTCTTGACTACGACGATTTAGGAGCGTTCTTAGCAGAAGTGGAGGCAAGCGTCAACAGTCGACCAATCACTTGGGTGTCCGACCAACCTGGAGCGCCAAAACCGTTGACGCCGAAAGATCTCATCCAAAACAGTGGACCAAACGACCTTGGACCAACAGATTGTGATCTCGACTGCGACGACGAAAAATTGTCTGGACCGGAGAAACTAGCCGCACTTTGGAACGCCTATAGAGAAGCAGCAGACGTTTTCTGGTCTCGATGGAGCAACGAATACATTTTGGCAATCAGAGAACGTGCTGGATGGACACACAAAGGACCACGAAGTCAAACAACATCACCACCGAAAATTGGTCAAATTGTTCTCGTCGAGATGGATCTTCGACCAAGGAATCTATGGCCCTTAGCAAAAATCGTCGAACTTAATGGCTCGTCTAATGAAATCCGCAGCGTCAACCTATTAACTGGAGATGGAAAAATCATCACTCGACCAGTTAGCCGACTCTGTCCTTTGGAAACCGAAATCGACGAACCCTCAACAAACACCTCAGCAATTCACCATGAAACGTCTAAAGAACCGAAGAAACCAATCCGTCAACATCAAATGACTCTTAGACCACGCAAATCAATCGTCAATACGGCAACGCTAGTGACCTTTCTTGTCTTACTCGTCAATATTGTAGGATTTGGAACGACAACACCATGGTATCGATGCGGACAATACGACTATTCATGTCTTCTAAGTTATTCGACAATTGCTTCAGCACTTTCCCTCTACGAATACAAGTGTGAGAATTGCCAACTCCAATGCTCGAATAAAGGTGTAATCGTCAAAGCACCACCCGAAGTTCAGAAGACTGCAGTTTGTTGTATGAAGAATTGTATCGACCACACCGACATGAAGGAGTACACTTATGAACTCACCGCCGAAATCATCATTAACGACTATGAATGCGAAGCATGGTTCTGGCAAAATTCCGTCAACAGTATAACAAAGAAGATTAATTGCCCAGCCGTAAATGAATGTGACCTAATCGACTGCTACTTTTGTCTCGAACAACTCGCCAATCCAACTTGCAACGTCAAATGGGCTACGTTCCTGCTCTTATTAGGAATCTTTGCCTTCAGCAGTTTATTTGGTTGCTTCATCACCGTCTTCAGTTCAATGCGCATCATCGTCAAGTTAATCGTCAATAGTTTAACAACAATAAGTTATCCTTTCTTTTGGATGTTCAACAAAATTTGCAAGAAAGACAAAGAAGCCTGGAAACGACAAATAAATTCCGCCGAGAGGAAATTATACCACCGACTAAGAAACATACATCGTCCAGGACACCAATTGAGGAAGAAATTTTCAACCATCTTATTTATTGCAGCAAGCATCACGGCAATCATAATTCCGACTATGGCAGTAATTTCAATCACAACTCAAACTGAAAGCTGTTTAAGAGGGACGACAGGATTGACTTGTACCGTCAATAGTGCCAACACACTTACACTATTACCTGCTGGCCAAGTCAACACATTGCTTCTTCGCGATGAACATGGTTTAACCCTTGGCACATTGTCAATGCGTCTAACATCCTTGAAAATGGCTTGCCATCAGCAATCAATCGCCTGGTTACGTTCTTACCGCGTCGAACCAACAGCCGTCAAAAGATGCCCTCGAGCTGGCTCATGTTTTAACGACCATTGTGAAAATGTCCGACCAAACAGTTACGTCAAGGAATTACAAGTTGGACGAGAATTACCCGGCAACACCTTCTGCATTCCATCGACAAGTTTTTGGGGCAACAGTTGCGGACTACCAACATCAGCATGTTTATACTACAGATATTTTGCTCGACCAACAAGTTCAAATGTCTTTGAAGTGTTCACTTGCCCAAGTTGGAGCCCGGAAATGGACGTCGAACTTATGTTAGAAACTAATGGCGGCAAACGACGAACAAAATCCATCATTTTACATCCTGGCATCACGTCATCATGGGGCAACATCACCATCACACCCTTGGCAATCTCTCTTCCGCCTATGCCAGTACTTGGTTCAACATTCGTCACTAATGGACAAACCGTCTCAATAGTCAGTCGACTACCTGTTGATCTACACTGTGCAACAGAGGAAGCAGCTCGATCTTTAAACTGTTCACTCGACCAAGATGCCTGCAAAGAATGCTTCCCGAACCACAACGACGGAACAGTGGAGTGCAGTTGCCGAGATGTGGACCTCGACGCAATGATGGAAAATCCAGAAACTCGACTACCAATCACCAGAGCAAAAGTATGGCTGGAAAACAACGGACCATCAGTTTCAGCAACATACGTCTATGCGCCTATTCAAATTCATCTTCAAATGAAAAGCCTAGCACTACATCTTCAACTTCGTGATTCAAAGTGTTTCATGGATGAAGCTCGACTACATGGATGTTATAGATGCGGTGCCGGAGCGCAAATAACCTACAGATGCAGATCAGACAACGCAACGTCTTAGCCACTGTCAAATGTGAAGATGGGACTTTATTCGTCGCCCATTGTTCGACAAATGGAACCCTTGGAAAGGAATTAATCCCTATCGACTACGCAGATGTCAACACTATTTGTACCGTCGATTGCCCTGCTGGAGAAACCAACTTCATCCTCAACGGCAGCCTTTATTATATTCCTTTGCGACGACAATGGGGACATCAACAACATCGATCAAAACAACTTATTTTGGATCCCGAAACTTTCAGTTTTTGGCCTGATTTTGGATTCGACTTATGGGTAATCGGCAAACTCCTTCAAGGAGGACCAATTTTTCTTGGCATCATAACGTCAATTGGACTTGCTTTACTTGCCGTCTACCTATTCATGCGACTATCGCCTATATTTCGAATTTATCGACAAATGGCTAGAACGATTACCATCCTGGCAATTTTTGTTCAAGTTCAAGCAGTCAATATAATAGCAATCGACAAACCCGAACGAATTTCGCCTGCGCCTATATCGTCGAAATATACATTTGGATGGAATCTCTTTAGAATTGCCGTTGTTTCGACTAGTATAATATGTCTGATGATTCGAACCGTCTATCTACATACGCCAAAACCCTTTCGACCATTTTACCGACAGAAACGCCAAAAAAGATTTGCGCCGATATTACCTGTCAATTCAACATTTTACATTCCAATCGTCATTATTGCACTTTCTGTGTGGCCGGCCGGATGTTCCCTTCAGAAAAAGGAAAATAATTCCAAACGACTAACTGGACCACACACGTTTTATAGAAGTGAGCAACGAAAGTGTGACATCATACTCATAACAGCAAAGAGAAATAAAATTCCAATCGCCTATCAATATATTCAATCAACATTCCAATGGGAAATTATTATTACCAACACGCCTATTTTTAAAAATATTAATATTAATTTGGAATCAACACAAATCCATTCATTTAATAACAACTTTCTAATCGTCGACGTCGAACTGAAAATGTCTTCACGTCCATCATCACCATTCGACAACGGAGGTTTTGGAACACCTCGCCGTCATCGTCAAATGGAACCGCAATTTCCTAGAACCCCATCACCTCCTCGTAATCGCCATGCGTCAAATCCACCGCCTTACAATCGTCAAGTATCTCCACCACCTTATTCTCGTCAAAACGGAAATCGTCAACGCCAAGAAGTGACCGAACGTCTAGATGAATATTTAGCAAGCCGATTTGGAAACAATTGGTGGAAAACCGTCGCAACAATTGACAGAATCAATCGTCAACTCAGAGGATTAATGATACGTGACCACACCAACGGCAACAACATAACGGATTGGGACTGCATCACATATAAGCCAGCACAGAAGCTACTTGTTCAGCCAGGAGAAACAGTGGCACAACACTGGCAGATGAAGGGACGACCAATCAGGGAACCACATCTCCCCGTGCTACGACAAATGGGTGGAATTCGTGGAACATCACGCCAATCTCGCCAACGTCAACGTCTAGGATTTATTCCTTGGAAAATGGGATACGACCACAACAGTTATTTCCCTCTACAAAATTTGGAGATTGTTATTCCGACACCATTGGCAAAACGTAACGGAGCTCGTCAAGATGATCAACAACCTCGTCAAAATTATGTTATAACTGAAGCAACGCGTCAACAAATTATCGCCACGCTTACAAAGACCAGAGATGACATCAATGAGGCCATTGAACTTGTTCAGCAACTTTCAACATGTGAACAACCTTCAACCTCATGGAGTTGGAATGGTGGACACTAGTAAAGAAAATTTTTAAATTTTTCTATAATCTATCTTTCCTTTTATCTCCTCCTTTCCCTCATTCATGCGTTTTGTAATTTTCCCCCTCAATACCTTATTTTCATTTTTTTGTAATTTTTTCAAATGTTTGGAATGGATGGACATCAAATGTCATCAACAATGGGTCCTCGTCAAATGGTCAACATATCGTCTAAACCTTAACGTCTAAACCTTTAACGTCAAAACTCAACAAAAGAAAATCACAACAAAATCATCAAATTTTAATAATTAAAAAAGTAATCATCAAAAAGCATCTTCACAAATTAATTTTATTGGCGAAGCCAATCAATTAAAAATAAAAAGAACGTGGTGAAACATCATAAATTTAAAAATTTACATCAAACAATAATCAAATCTTAAAACCAAATCTTAACAACAAAATTTATAAATGCAAAATCGACAAATGGAATATCGACTAAAACTTTAAATCGACTAATCAACATAACTTTAACAACTAAGGACCCACTGATGTGCCTGCTCGCGGCAATGTCGAAAATTTCTTGAATTTTCGTCGAAGGATGAAATTAATAAAATTATTAATTTTTCCGTTCCTATTTTTGTATGACATCACTTGTTAGTGATCGTTATCGCCTACTTTGCTCTTTCTCTCATTTTTCCATAAATGGATAAAATTATCCATTTTATCTTAAATTCCAATCTAAAAAATTATTAATAATTTTATCCAACAGGGAAAAAAGGGAGAAAGTGCATTTCCGCCCAACTTTATTAAAAACATGATTTTTTCTATGTTTTCCACTTTTGCCATTGCCCCACATTTTTTACCACACACATTGAAAATGTTCTATTTAAGCCAATTTTTTCCCCTTACACCAACATTCGTTCATTCAGTATAGCTTTTCCTTGAATCATTCCTTATCCTTACCAATTCCAACCACCTTTTCCATACACACAAATAATTGTAAAATTGTATTAAATTAAATAAATATTATTAAAATATTCTTTGTTCTTTTGTTAATATTCTTTGGGAATATTCGCCTAACTTTCGTCTACGTCTAAACTTGGCCGTCTAAAACCCTTTGCCTCCTCGTTTGAATTGCCCTGTCTTAATCTTTGGGATTAAGACATACCTCATCAAGACCCTTAACCCCAACTTCTTATTTTAGCGGCGAACGACCTAGTTCCCTTTTGGGAATCCCGACCTAGGAAGTTCCCGTTAAAAAATGTCCTTAGAATATCTTCTTTAAATTAAAATTATTTTTAATTTATCCTTTTATTTTTAGACAGAAATATATAGAATTTTTTTATTTTTAATTTCCTTTTGATGAGTGCCAAAAAATGGTTAATGTCGAAAAAACCAAATAAGGATCTAATATAAGCACCCCCCTTCCCTCCTAACTCATCAAAAAATATATATTTTATTGTCTCTCCCAACAGAACAAGACCAAAGGCTAAAATAAAAAATATTTTGGAGAGAACAAATAATCGAGAGAATATTAGTAACCCCCCTCCTCCATCCCCCCTTTTCTTCTTCTCCAAATAAAACTCTCCCAAAAATGCTTGAGTGGCTCCAAGCTGAGAAAAATTGACAGAAAACAATTGAAGTAACGTCACGCATTGTGGTGCTTATTGTATAAAAATAAATATTTATTGGCTTTAAGAAAATTTTCGGTTGGTCTCTTTTGTGATAAGTAAAAAGAAAATATTTATTTATTTATTTTAGGAAATATATTTTTATAAAAAAATAATTTGGAATAATTATATAAATTTATTTTAAATAGTAAATGATTATTTTTAAAATAATTATTTTAAAAAATATTATTTTAAATATTTATTTAAAAGACCAAAATTCAAAAATTTTTAAAAATCAAAGAAAACAATAAAGAAATTGAGAAGAGTCTTTTATTTAATTTCTTGTCTATTCATAAAAATAAAAAAAAGTTTTTCTTTGTTGACAAAAATTCTCTTTAAAAATATTTTTTATTTTCTCAATTTTTTATTGCCAAAATATATTTCTAAAAAAGATTTAAATAAAAAATATATTTTTATATTTATTATCGAAATTAAATTAAAATTTTATAACATTTTCTGAAAATATTTAAGTTAAAAATATAAATAAAAAAGATTATATGTAGTATAAATAAGGAAATGGAAAATAGTAAAGAAAAGAATTTTTTGTTTAAGCGAATTGTCAAAATTTTATTGAAACTAAAAAAATCTTTTCTTCTTCATTGTTAACAAAAAGGCATTTTATACACTCTGTAACAAAATGATAGGACCCCCTAGTTTTTTATCGATATCTTACCAAATATTGAATGGATTTGTTTCAAATTTTGGTAGAATATAGGTAGGGATATTATGTATCAATAATGAAAAGAAAAAGTTGAATGCAATTTTTTAAAAAAAATTTATAACAATAAATATGATTTTAGAGTGTAACAAAATGATAGGACCCCTTGTATTTTCGACCTTAGAAATAGTCTGAAAAATCTACAAAAATTCCTGTAAACATATCCATTGATATGTATAGAAAATACAAAATGAAGTTCCTATATAATTCCTTCATTGAGATCTGAAAACCCGAAAATCAACGGAAAACCGGGGGTGGACGTCTTTAAAATATATTTTCGACCCCTTACAGGTAAAATAAAAATTTCATTTTGGGCTTATTTGAAAGCCCTTGAAATTTGCTATAAGATAGTTGTCATCTCATTATTCAGAAAAAATTATTCTTTGAGAAATAATCAGTTTAGTTTGTAAGTTACATTTTCATCACTTTTTGGGAGGCTTTTGAGTGATTTTTAAGACCTGAAAGTTTATCAAATTATGTCTTTCAGGTGAATTTTTTTCGGAAAATAAAATTGATGCTATCTTGTAGCAAATTTCAAGGGCTTCCAAATAAGCCCAAAATGAAATTTTTATTTTACCTGTAAGGGGTCGAAAATATTTTTTAAAGGCGTCCACCCCCGGTTTTCCGTTGATTTTCGGGTTTTCAGATCTCAATGAAGGAATTATATAGGAACTTCATTTCTTTTGTATTTTCTATACATATCAATGGATATGTTTACAGGAATTTTTGTAGATTTTTCAGACTATTTCTAAGGTCGAAAATACAAGGGGTCCTATCATTTTGTTACACTCTAAAATCATATTTATTGTTATAAATTTTTTTTAAAAAATTGCATTCAACTTTTTCTTTTCATTATTGATACATAATATCCCTACCTATATTCTACCAAAATTTGAAACAAATCCATTCAATATTTGGTAAGATATCGATAAAAAACTAGGGGGTCCTATCATTTTGTTACAGAGTGTATAAAAAAGTATATTTTACAAAAATTGGAAATTAGATTTAAGTAAATATTTTCTCGAATAAATTTAACGTTTATTTTATTTTAAATTTATTTAAACGAGTATTTTATAATCAAAAATTGTTGGAAAATTAATCATCAAATAATTCAAAATTTAAACTAATTTTATTATTTTTTAATAACTAAATATATAGAATTTGAAAAATTAAAAGTTTGTTTAAAAGTTTTTTTTAAAAAAGTAAAATAATTTAAAATAAAAAAAGAGAAGATTTGATGAGTAAAAAATTAAAGAAAAATATATTTTAGTTAAAGATCATCAAAATTTGTTGAGATGAGTTAAAGACATGCCAAATAATATTTTAACAAAGGATTGATAAA